AAAAAAAAAAAAAAAAAAAAAAAAACGAAAGAAAAATCCAATCGAATCGAAAAAAAAATCCAGTCGAATCAGTCAATTCCATTGGATCTTGATAAAAAATCAAAACCCAATTGAGTCGATTGATTCGACTGGAATTTTTTTTCGTTTTCCTATTGAATTACTGATTAAAAAAAAAAAAAAAGGTTCGGGGACTCGGGAGCGGATGACGATGGTCAATCAATCAATCCATCCATTCATCCATCAATCAATCATACAAAATAAAATAAAATAAAAATGGAAAAAAAATCAATCGAATCGAATGATTTGATTGGATTTTTTTTTACGTTTTCTTTTAATATGATTGATTGATTGATTGATTGATTGATTGATTAAAAAAAAAAAAGGTTCGGAGGTTGGGGAGTGGGTGAGGAGGGTCGAGGCGGGACTACCTGCCTCTTGCTCCCCTAACTTGGCCCCCTCCTCCCGTGACTTCCCTTTTCGCCTCGTCCTCCTCCTTTTCCTCCCCCTCCTCCTCCTCCTCTTCTTCGTCGTCCACCCCATCCTCCTCCTCCTCCTCCTCCTCCTCTTTGTCCTCCTTTTCGCCATGCTTCTCATTCTCGCCATGCTTCTCCTTCTCGCCATGCTTCTCCTTCTCGCCATGCTTCTCCTTCTCGCCATGCTCCTACTTCTCACCAGCCTCCTCCTCCTCCTCCTCCTCTTCTTAGTCCTCCTACTTCTCGGCCTCCTCCTCCGCCTCCTTCTCGCCATCCTCCTGGATTCGATTGGATCTTGATCAATATCAAGATCCTCTTGAATCGACTGATTCGATTTATTTATTTTTCGTTTTTTTTTTTTTTTAATATTGAATGATTAAGATCCAAAAACGAAAAAAGGAAAACGAAAAAAAAAACAATCGATCGATCCTCCAAGTTTTCATCAATCGATCAATCAATCAATCACAAAAAAAAAAAGAAAAAAAAATTCGAATGGGATCGAAAAAATAATCCAGTCGGATCAGTTGATTCAAGAGAATCTTGATCAAAATCAGAATGCAATCGAATCGAGTGATGCGGCTGGATTTATTTTTCATTTTTAATTGAATTACTGATTAAAAATAAAAAGGTTCGGGGACTCAGGAGTGGATGACGATGGTCAATCAATCAATCAATAAATCATAAAAAAAAAAAAAAGTAATAAAACTTCAATCGAATCGAATGATTTGATTGGATTTTTTTTTTCGTTTTCTTTTGATATGATTGTTTGATTGATTGATTGATTAATTAAAATAAAAAAAGGGTTCGGGGGCTGGGCAGTGGGTGAATAGGGTCGGGGCGAGACTACTTGCCTCCTGCTCCCCTCACTTGGCCCCCTCCTCCCGTAACCCCCCTTTTCGCCTCATTCTCCTCCATTTCCTCCCCGTCCTCCTCCTCTTCTTTATCGTCCTCCCTGTACTCCTCCTCCTCCTCCTCCTCTCCTTCTCGCCAGGCTCCTCCCATCCTCCTCTTCTTCATCCTCCTCCCCCTCCCCCTCCTCCTCCTCCTCCTCTTCTTAGTGCTCCTTTTTCTCGGCCTCCTCCTCCTCCTCCTTCTCGCCATCCTCCTACTCTTCCTCCTCTTCTTCCTCCTCCTCCTCCTCTTCCTCCTCTTCTTCATCCTCATCCTTCTCGGCCTCCTCCTCCTCCTCCTCCTCCTCGCCAATGAACAATTTGCACATCTCTCTCGCAACCAGCAACCCGATTAATCAAAGGGAAAAAAAATAAAATCCAATCGAACCAGTCGATTCGATTGGATCTTGATCAGTATCAAGATCCTCTTGAATCGACCGATTCGATTGTTTTTTTTTTCATTTTTTTCTTTTATTTTTATATTGAATGATTGATAGATTGAAAAAAAAAAAAGACGATCGATCGATTAAAAAAAAAAAAAAAAAAAAAAAAAAAAAAAAAAAATCAATCAATCCATTTACTTATAAAAAAAACAAAAAAAAAAAAAAAAAAAAAAAAAAAAAAAAAAAAAAAAATCTAGTGGAATCGAAAAAATAATGCTCTCGAATCAGTTGATTCCATTGGATCTTGATCAAAATCAAAATCTAATCGAATCGACTTATTGGACTGGATTTTTTTTTGTCGTTTTTTTTATTGAACTATTGATTTAAAAAGGTTCGGGGACTCGGGAGCAGATGACGATGGTGAATCAATCAATCAATCAATCAATCAAAATCAATCAATAAAAAAAACTAGTATTCCATCAAATGATTCAAATCAATGAATTCGATTGAATCTTGATTCGAAATCAAGATTCTATCGAATAGATTGATTTGATAGAATATTAGTTTTTCGTTTTTTTTTATTGATTGGTTAATTGATTGATTGATTTTTTTTTTAAAAAGCAAAGGGTCGGACTCGGGGGCGCTAGGCGATGGGTGAGGGGGGTCGAGGCGACCCGGTCGAAGACGAGGAGGAGAAGGAGGAGGAGGGAAAGGAGGAGGAGGAGGAGAGGAGGAAGAGGAAGAGGAGGAGGAAGAAGAGGAGGAGGCGGAGGGAGGGGAGCACGACGACGCTGAGGAGGAGGGGGAGGAGGAGGAGGAGGAAGACGAGGAAGACGAGGACGAAAGGGCCGAGGCCGACGAGGAGGGAGGAGA